AAAGTATGTTTGTCATCGTAGAAGAAACTTTTCTTGTACGATCGTGTGTGTGTGTATGTGTGTGTGCGTGCGTGCATGCAACACACGTCGTGCATGCGCTTGCCGCGGGAAGAGTTTTCGTTTCTATCACGTCGTCGGAATTGAAAGACGGAGAACGAAACTAAAAAAAAAAAAAGAAAAAAAGAAAAAGAAAAAAAAAGAAAAATGAGTAATGGAACAGTAAGGAGAAAAAAGTTTTTAATTTTTTTAATTTCTTCTCTCCTAACATTTTGCTTAGCTTTAAACGAGAAAGAATCATTGAAAATATATAGTCCAAAGCAATATAACCGAAAGGCCAGAGTATAAAACGTCTGTGCTGGTTAAGCAACAGCCAGTAACCGGCTCGTTGGACCGCGAAGAACTAAAATAAACCGCATAGCGTGCCATTTCCCTTCGGACTGTGAAAAGAAAAAGGATAGATATATAGAGACAGAATATAGGGCGGGGAGGGTGAGTGGGTGGATAAGGGAGGAGCGGGCGGGGTGGGGGGTACAGAAGGGATAGATAGATATAGAGAGAATTCAGAAAACCGTCGTCGAGAGTCTCCAAGTATTCTACTCGCTTTATAGGCGACGCATGACCGGTCAAAGTTCGTTTCACTCGACAAACGCAATGGAATCGTATTCTCGAAGGGCTTGAAAACCGCAACTTCTACCCGTATCAAGGAGTACGTCGAAAGCCGTCAGAGTCGATCGAACCTTTCGATCGTCAACTTCTTCGTCGACCTTAAGACCATGAGAAAGATGATAGATAGATAGAAAGATGAAAGAGAGAGGAAGAGAGAGAGAGGGAAAGAGAGATAAAGAGACAACGTAAGAGAGAAGAAGAGAGAGAGAGAGAGAGAGAGTTAGTCGTGATTACCCGCATAGGGTACAGAGAACCGCAAGAAAACACAATATTGCTAGTGGGGTTGTATACGAGTACTCTCACTCTATTTCTCCCCCTCTCTCTCTCTCTCTCTCTCTCTCTACATTTCTAACTCTCTCAAAAGGTTCTATGGAGGCTAAATGGATGGCACGATATCGTTGAGTCCATGGGAAGACATATTTTCTCAGCCTTAATACCTTCAATTTCTCCTTCTTTTCGGTAGATCGCGCCCCGTTTCTACTTTTCCTTAACGCCCTTCCACTTCCTTTACTTTCTCTTAATTACATCGTAACAGAAGGAAATCTCTAGGGAGTCAAAGTGCCCGAACTTTGAACGAAGGAACGAACGAAGACTTCGATCGAAAAAAAAAAAAAAAAGAAAAAAAAAAAAGAAAGGATGGAAGTCCTTCGACGTTCGTTTCTTCTTCTTCTTCTCGTTCGAGAAGATCCTCTCTCGTCCGAATCGATTTTTCTTTGGCCCATGTGATTCTTTCGTTATTTTATACGGACGCTTATCGAACCGGACAGGAGAAAATCTCTTCCGATTTTGAAACGTAATCCTTGTTATAAATGGAATCACGATGATATCTATGTCGTATAGCTTCTCTTACTATTGGCATCAGAGAACATATCGTTCTATGCAAAAGTTAAGAAAGTATGTATATCATCTTCTTCTTCTTTCTCTTCTTCTTTTTCTTCTAAAATCCGTGTAAGTACATTATCGAGAAAATTATTATTGAGTCTATGTCAAGTATTCGATATTATCGGAAATACATATTATATACAAGATCCTTATGCTTTAATGAGACGTAGAATGTCGCCCTTGTGTACGACGCCGTCAAAATTTATTTACTTGATAGACGTGGTAAGAGGAGTAGTGAAAAGAGAAAGAGAAAATAAGAAATACGAATAGAAGTGGAGAGAGAGAGAGAGAGAGAGAGAGAGATGAAAGAGTCATGAGACGAGTAATGATGATGATGTTGATGATGCTTGTAAAGAAGTGAGAATACGTAATAATTGCAAATCGGAATATACTTATTACTTCGAAAGGTATACGAATCTTTTAAGCATCGAATAAGAAAGACGCGCCCGGCTGTGTTATTTCGAAACGGAATACGAATGTTTCGTTTCATATCGATTCGACGAATATGACAATGGGAAGGTGAAAAGAAGGAGAAACGCACAGGAGAGAGATATATATATATAGGAACATATCTGATACGTATGTACTTCGATATCGTATTTTCGAGCGACAACAACAGAGAACGAGACGACGAAAACAGAGAACGAGAGAGAGCGAGAGAGAGGAAGGGAGAGAGAAAGAGAGAGAGAGAGAGAGAGAGATAGAGAGAAGGAAAGAAATAGAGATTGGAAAGAACTGACGAACGTGACGTAGACGATGCAGGGCGTGATCATCGTATTGTTCGATATCTCCATTTCCCATCCAGCTTCGTTCACGGTGCGGTCTAATTACCCTCGAGGCTTACCGCGCGTGGTTTAAATACTAGCTACTGTCGCACGCGCGAGAAGTAACGAGAGGGACACAGAGATACACGGACACACACGCACACACAGAAAGAGAGAGAGAGAGAGAGAGAGGAGAGGGGGGAGAAACGAAGAATCGTACGAACGTATGAGAGCATATATTTCGCTTCGAGAGATAAGGTCAGGCGCAAATGGCAAATTTCATGGGAAATTTATGACGTTTCACAATGGCACGTAATTATCGTCAGATACGGCCGTTAACGGCTTTATGAACCCTCCCCCGAAAGAGGTCAATGCCGGTCATCTCGGATATTATGCGCTTTTGTATTAACCCCGAGAAGAGAGAGAGAGAGAGAGAGAGAGAGAGAGAGAGAGAGATACGAGTCGTGGTCTCCGATATTCATCGATGCTACTAATTTCGATAATGAAACGGTTCGGTTAATGTAACGCTCGTGGAATTTCCAACGTTAATATAAAGCAATTATCGAGAACGATCGTTCGTTCATTCATTCGTTCATTCGTTCGTTCGTTCGTTCGTTCGTTCGTTCATATATTTATAAGATAATCGCGTCGAATTTCGTAATTTGTATACAATCTCGTATATCTCTAAAGCAACTTTACGATCGTCCTTCATAATAAACTCATTTAATTCTAAGATACGATGAAAACGTTACAATACAATAACGTTTAACGTTGTTAACAAGAAATAAATAAATAAATCAATCTTAAATATCCTACGTACTTCGTCAGTTCCATTAAATATTTCTATCTTATTCAGTTAATCGTATATACGTACATACGTACACAGGTATCTTTATTCGAGATTTATTGTCCCGTGACAGGATATCTTGATAACTATGATATGAAAATCATGGAGAAGCGTAGAAAGGTACGAAAAAGTCGAGAAATCAAGAAGGATAGGTAGGTAGGTAGGTAGGTAGGTAGGTAGGTAGGTAAGGTAGACAGATAGGTAGACAGATAGGTAGGTGGTAGATAGGTAGGTAGGTAGGCGGATAGGTAGATAATGCGAAGATTGAGTTCGCCTTGACTTACGTCCGCGGGAACTATTTGAAAACTACTCAGAACTGTCGGATTAACTGAAAGTATGTGGCGGGTTGGGATTTTATCCCATGAAACCGGTGCATTATTCATGGCCAGAACTGTCTAAGGTGCAGAGAAGAGGGTTGGCGGGGTGGAGTGAGAGGGGGGAGGGGCAGTGGTAGAGAACCTTGAGAAAGGAGAGCAGCTACGCATTACGAATCTTTCACGGAGAATAATGCAGAAACGTCCGCGAATCTCTTCCAAGGAATTATAAGATTAACCGGAAACTTATTGCACTTCCGCGAAAACCGCGATACACCGAAGTTGAATTTGAGTCGTATTCGAGTCGAGTCAAGACAGAAAATTGTATCTTTAAATCGAGTCTCCTTTTACCCTTTTAAATAATTCATTAGAAAAATTTTTCGTCTGTTACGTGTTGATTTTTGACAATTGCTATTACTATTATTATTATTATTATTGTTATTATTATTATTATTATCATTAAAATCATTGAAATCGTTATAGATCATTATAAAAAAGAGGTGTTCGTAAAATTTTATTTATAGTATCGAATAGGTATTTTACTATGTCGTAATAATTGTAAGTAAAGAAAAAAAAAATGAAAACGAAGAAAGGTATAAAGGAAGTAAGGAACTTACGTCTTCCAAGTTGATAAATATACATGCCTTTTGGCGATGTGTGTGTGTGTGTGTGAGAGAGAGAAAGAGAGAGAGAGAATGAGAGAAGGAGAAGGAGAAGTATAAGCTCGAGGACATGCTAAGAGAATCTCAGGGTAGACACAGGTGGGCGGTTGTAAGGAAAGTAGGTATCGACGATGTTGCAAGGCACGGTGTACCTACTTGTTTACTGAGCGCTCGAAACCTCGGAAAGGAAGGAGAATACAAGAGGAAGGAGAAAGAGCGAGAACGAGAGAGAGAGAGAGAGAGAGTGAGAGAGAGAGAGATGTAGGGGTGTTCGAAGAAAACCACTCAAAGTACGATGTTTCCCTCTGCTGTGGTGGAATTCCCATCCAAAAATATCGTTTAGAACGGACGAGGCGAAGAAGAGCCAAGGGAAAGGAGGGGAAGGATGAAGGTTTAGAGTTGGAAGGAGAAACGTTACGATTGAGAAAGAGAAAGGGAAAGCGAGCGAGGGAGATAGAGAAAGAGAAGCAACCCTCGGGTCAAGTAAACTTGGATCGCCCATTTCCAGTTTATTGCTAATTCATTCAAATTGTATTTGTTCCCAAATATACATTCTATTCGTCGGCTTTCTATTCGCTCGGAGGCAAGCGTCGTTTGAGCGTGGCGACGGCGAGCGCAATGCCTCGTCCTTTAACAAATTGCTACTCCGATGCACGCGTTCTCTTACTATCTGGAAAACAAACGTCGAGGAATAGAATGATGACAATGTCTATAAGGGAGAGAAATAGGTGGGAGGTTAGGAGGGATGGGGTTACGACGACGACACGTAGGGGATGCGAAAAAGACTTCTCCTCCTCCTCCTCCTCCTCCCCATCTTCCTGCTCCTCCTTCTCCTTCTTCTTCTTCTTCTTCTTCTTCTTCTTCTTCTTCTTTCTCTATTTCTCTATTTCATTCTTCGCGTAAAACTAACTAAGATGAAAGTTTAGCGAAATTCCGAAAGTTACTCAGAGGTACTCGTTTTCCTTTCTAAAGCATACGAGGGATGGCAAAGACTACGAAGAATATGACAACGACAAAGATGACACTGGCACACACTATTTCTACATAATCACGGTAGAGGTTACTTACTTAGGTAAACTACTATATATTAAGCATAGAGGTACGACGAATTCGTAACCATTTACAAAGGACACGAACGTCTAACGTTAATCTCATGTCATACTGATAAAAAGTATACAACGTTGATAACGGAGAAAGAGAGAGAGAAAGAGGGGGAGAGATTGAAGAAAATCATCATTCGTAAAAGTATTCCCGTACGCAAGGTACACATTGCTTATGTCCTATCTCTACGGCACGCGCCCCCTCCCTCAATCCTCCGTCGTAGCTTATTCGTACTTTTGATATGTCATAGGATCCCAAAAAAATCTGGGATTTTTAGGGAGAAAAAAAAGGGGGAAAAAAAAAAAAAGAAAAGAAAAAAGAAAAAAAGAGTTTCGAATGGCGAACGGCGGAACTCTCTCCTCCTCTCCTCTCCTCTCCTCTCTCACTCTCTCTCTCTTTCTCTTTCGTGAAAGTAGCACAACGATTAGGATTAAGGTGCGGATGGAAAATTCTCAACGGAAAATTTATTACATCGAAAAGGGCAAAGCCGAAAGTTTTCGAGGTAGGTAAATGGGAAAAATCATGGCTCGAACGAAATGGGGGGATTAGGAGAGAAAACCTCGAGCAGCTACGAATTCCTTTTTATATATATATTTTTTTTTCTTTTTTTTCGTTTTCTGTTTTCTTTCTTTCTTTTACTTTTTTCTTTTTTCCTTTCTTTTTTTTTTTCTCTTTTCTTTTTTTCATTCCCGCATAACTTTTCTTCTCGGCCCCCCCCTCCTCCTTCTTCGGAGATAAGGAACGAACGTTTACAGATAATCATTTGCCAGTGGAACGAGAAACTTTATATTTCTTTTTTTTTTCTTTTTTTAAATATTATCATTGATTTCTTTTTTTTCTTTTTTCTCTTTTTTTTCTTTTTATTACGTAGATATGCAGACAAGTGGATTCAACTGATTCAAATGTAATTCTTCGTTTACAAAAAAGAAAAAAAAAAAGAAAAGAAAAAAGAAAAAGAAGAAAAAATAAAAAAAAAAAAACATCTCAATACGCTCGCTATATTATCTAATACTTAATTCGATGTATATAAGTACAGAAGAGATGTATTTAATTTATTTATTTTTTTTCTTCTTCTTCTTCTTTTTTTTTTCTTTTCTTTCCTTCTCTTCTCTTCTCTTCTTTTCTTTTCTTTCATTTTATAAGTCGCTACTATTTACTATAACGAATAGATATCTACTGGGTTCTTACTATCGACGATATTATTGGCAAGCGGGACGGTAATTTCGCGCAAAGAAAAATCGAGGTATTCGCTATCGAGAAGAGAACGAAGTGCCATTTCGTCCGGGGCATTGTGTGTACGATGGCAGTTACTCCACGAGAAAGAATACAAACGAGATTTTCCGAGCGGAAGAAAATGATCAAGTCGGAGCATTCTCTGCCGACAGGAGAATCGATGGAAAGTCATCCACGTTCAGTTAGCATAACAATGCGACCGACGCGACTCCCTCTCTCTCTCTCTCTCTCTCTCTCTCTCTTTCTCTCTCTGTCTCCTCTCTGTAGGTTTCTATCTAAGTCGTTGGCTCCTTACAGAGTACCTACATCGCTCGACATCGAATCAATCCCGTAAATACGACTTGGCCGCGAGTAGACGCAAAACCCAACGCGTGACAATCGATATTTCACAGTGGTCTTCTATCGAGACCATTCTCGCGGGATATTCAAGAACGTACAAGTATGTACATACAAACATGTGTATATATACATATATATATATATATATATATATATATATATATATATATAGATATATGCATACATTGATAAATAATAATCTAAGGATAGGGCAGTGGTAACTAGTAAAAATATTTTTATCGCGATGAGATTATTCAATTCTTTTCTTTTCTTTTCTTTTTCTTTTTTTTTTTTTCAGAGAGTCGAACACTGGCCGGGCTCTCGATGGCTCTCTGAATAAATATATAAAATTAAAGTGATAGAGAGAAAAGTATGGTGGGAAAAGGAAATGCGAAGAAAAAGGAGAGGAGGAGAAGAAGGAAAAGAAAAGAAAAAAAAGAATGGGAATCAAAAAAAGAAAAAGAGAAAAGGAAAAAAAGAATTGTCGACGGCTTTGGATGAGAATGGAATAAGAGGGAAGTAGAAGAAAGTCATAGAGAAGTAGTACTAGTACTAGTAGTAGTAGTAGTAGTAGCAGTAGTAGTAGTAGTAGTAGTAGTAGTAGTAGTAGTAGTAGTAGTAGTAGTAGTAGTAGTAGTAGTAGTAGTAGAAGAAAAGTTGGAAGGAAAATGGGTGGGAAAGAGAGCGAGAGTGAGAGAGAGAGAGAGAGAGAGAGAGAGAGAGAGATGCAAAATGTTCTGTACGCTCTTACGGATTTATGGATTTCATTATTGTCGAGCGTGGTTGGTTACGCCGGCTGACTAGGGACACACTCACTCTGAAGGAGGAGGAAAGGAGGTAGGAGGATCGCGAGCAGGCTCGTCTAAACTTAAACTTGCTGCCCGTTTGCATTTTATGAGCAGCCAAGCCAGTTCCTGCTCTCTCTCTCTCTCTCTCTTTCTCTTCTTCTTTCTCCCTTTCTCTCTATATCTCTCTATCTCTATCTGTATCTTTATCTCTTTCTCTCTGTCTCTCCCTCAAAAGAGGGAGAAGAGAACGTAGGAATACCGGCGGTTCCCGAACCGAAAAGCCCATACATTCGTTCTCACCCCCTACCAACAAGGACCCACCCTTTCACGTATTTTCCAACGAGCACCTATCTAACCACCAACCACCGACGTAGTCCCACACCTTTCTCACCAAAGGGAAAACCATCTCGGTCAAACCACCATTATAAAGCCAGCCGTGTAAGCCGAATTACTTCCCCTTTCACTCCCCTTCCTTTCTTCTTCTACACCCTGCCTTTTCCTCTTCCTCCTTCTGCTCCTCCTCCTCCTCCTCCTCCTCCTCCTCCTCCTATTACTACTACTTCTCTTACTCATCCACCTTCGAGGATATTCACCCTCTTCGTAGGAAGATTCAACGCCAAACGTAGAGCGATACTCGACTCGATCTTAAGACCTCTCTCTCTCTCTCTCTCTCTTTCTCTCTCTCTCTTACTTGCATTCTCTCTCTTTCTCTCTCTCTCTCTCTCTGTTGTGCTATACTAACGTTCCTTCTATCTCGGCCCGATCTTTGTGAGGCCGAGTGCGAAAGGGGGATTCGAACGTTTTACCCTATCGCTCTTGGATCTTGCTTACGTTTAATCGTCGACTACTCTGCACCGTTAAAGCTCCGCGCCGTCGTCGATAGGATTGCGAGGAAACGGCACGTAGTTTACGTTAAGCGTCGTCGAATCCAACCACTATAGATCGCATCTTCCTGTTTTAAATGAAACCCTCGAAACTTCCATCCTTTGGCAAGTTAACACGTTAAATATATATATATATATATATATATATATATATATATATATATATATATACATATAAGGACAAAAAAAAAGAGAAAGAAAAAAAAGGAAAAAAAAACAACGTGAATACGTTGTAAATCACGTGATACCATTATCTATCTAATAAATATCTAACGATATTAACATCTTTGAAATGGGATATAATAAAGAAGAAGAAAAGAAAAAGAAAAAAGAAAAAAAAAAGAAGACGGACAATACAATTGTATCCGAAAATTACTATTTACTATTACTATGTCCCGTTGCAACGGTGTTTGAGTTCGCAAAGTTAGTTTCCATTTATCGAATAATTATTCGAAACAACATCGAGATAATATCATCCGATTGTCGGGCACGAGACGGAACTCACTCGATCGCGCACGTCCGCACGTAGAGATACGTTTCTTAATCCGATAGTCTACTACTCTGGAAGACAATAATGTCGCGAGGATTGAACTGGTATAGGTGGCAGAATATGCGGAGAAGGAGGATGAGAATGAAGATGAGGGGTAGGTAAGGGTAGAGTGCACTGTTCAATAATTCAGAAGCAATAGCAGTACTCTCTGTCTGTCTGTCTGTCTGTCTGTCTCTTTCGTTCTCTCGCTTTCTCTAGTTCTCTCAACTCCTCTATATCCGTATCATTCTGTATACCTCTCGATCTTGTTGCTCTCTCTCTCTCTCTCTTTCTCCTCGTATATATCCTTATCACTACGTTTCCCTATCTCTATCTCTATCTCTCTCTTACTCCCTTAGGTACTTTCGACGGGTCGCACGATACTATATACGTGCGTACATGAATGATCAACGATACGTGTATACGTTTCGAAGCGACGAGCTTACCACCAACAAGTAGGATTTTCATATCTAGACGAACTTGAAAGCACGTTCATAAAAACGTAAAGGAAAGTCAAGAAAATCAGATCGGATCCGGGAGTAACACCCAATCCGATAACTCCGACTCTCCTATCTTCAAATTTTCCCTCCCTAAAAGATCTCGGATCATTTGAGTCTGATAAAATCTTATCCCCACTCTCCTTTTCCCACCCCCATCTATCTTCTCTCTTTCTCTCTCTCTCTCTCTCTCTCTCTCTCTCTCTCAAAAGAAACGCACAAATCTATGGGATTTTTTTTCTTCTAGTCGTCCTTTAAATAAAGCGAGATTCTTGAAAAGTGTGTTAAATATCCATCATTCTAATCTACTTAAACGATCGCTATAACAACGACGTCGTCGTTATTGTTATCGCAATGAACGTATGCACGCATTGCATTTTTTGTTTGTTAATTTTTTCCTTTTCCTACTCCCTTTTTCTTTTTTTTTTTTCTCTCGTTGGAAGATTAATTAAAAATTTCTGGGCGTATCTAATAATTATATATAAATATATACATACATACGTACATACATACATGCATGCATGCATGCATGCATCCAAGTATGTATACACGTACGAAACATATACCAACGTATGTATATACGAATAAATTGCAAAATACTAACATATGCGTACTACGATAAGGATAATATGACTCAGTATCGATACTAAAACACGTATGAGAAACGTCACATTCGTATCTGTCATATCGTAACCGTGTAACCGATGCAGCTCGCGTCGAAGATGTATCCGACGACATTTGTCACGCGAATAAGTGTTCTACCCATATCGTTCCTACCTTCTACGGGAACACCCCATATCGTTGCTCGTCATACACTAAACCACAACTGTCAAGTCCATGGTGGAAATCGCTTACCTGAAAGAAAAAGGAAAATAATATATCGTTAGATACGAATAGGATCGAAGAAACGATTGATTATAATGGAATAAAGATGGATAATGCAAAATAAATGTTCTTTATTATATGTGATTCGTTATTGAATAAGTTTGACGTTTCGCGATAAGGCCGATTGGATTGTCATCTTCTTTCTTTTACTTTTTTATTTTCTCCTTTTTCTTTTTTTTTTTTGTTTTTCTTTATATCTTTAAAGCCTTTTAACCTTAGACGATCGATCGATTCAAACGAGATTTTCTTTCTTCTCTCTCTCTCTCTCTCTCTCTTTTTTTTTTTACTTTCTTTTCTTCCTCCTTTCTTTTTTCTTTTTTTTTCTTTTTTTTACGTCTGCGGTAGGCTAAGGCCGAAAAGTTAAACCGGCCAAAATCCATACCTCTATACGTGCCACACATAAATAAGAAAGTTGTGGAAGTTAAAAACTAGAAGGAACGCCGAGAGAACGACGAGACAGAAAGAGAAAGAGAAAGAGAAGGGATGGAATAAGGCGTGACTACAAATTTATCGCTACCCCTCCTCTCCCTCTTCACTTCTGTAGCAGTCTTTCGCGAAGGTTGAAGGTTCGAAAAATAAGTTCGTTTCCTTTTACCACCTATTTCTCTCTCTCTCTCTCACTCTCTCTCTTTCTCTCTTCTTTTCCCAAACCATATTTTTGTTTATTACCAACCAGTTTGAGACTCGAAAGTAACATCGGATCATAAGGGAAAAGAAACGTAAATTCGTTGGATTCGATAACTCTAGGTTTGTTCGGACTTTTAACACGATGGAAAGAAGTTCGGGTAGGCGAGGAGGATATTAACGTAAATTCTCGGAAGAAGTGGGAAAAACTAAACTCGTAAACCCGAATCGAAAGTAATCGTAAGAGAGCATAGATTGTCCTACGAGTATTACTCTATGTAGTATAATGTAAGTGAGTGAGTGTATGTATGTTTGTATGCGCGCGCGCGTGTGTGTGTGTGTGAAAGTAAAGTGCCAAGAAACGGCGTAGGTGGATCGAAGAATTGGAAATGGATAGGAATAGAAGACTCGAGGGTTTTGGACCGATAGAGGGATGCTACTGGACATGAAGAAGGTGTAGAATCATGAATGGTGGAGAGGGAACAACGGTAGAAGAAAGAGGTAGAAAATATATATATATATATATATATATATATATATATATATATATATATATATATCATCTTCTTCTGTTGGTCGCCACTCCGTATTGTGTGATCGAAAGCTTCGAGAGAAAACTGAGATAACTCTATACCTATGTCGATTCTACAAAACGAAAGAAGAAAAGAAAGAAAAATAGGAATATGAATAAATAACTGTTCGATGGGATTTACGTATTTGCTAGTATTTGACATATAAAAGTCTCTCTTTCTTTTTCTCTATCCTCTCTTTCTCTCTCTCTCTCTCTCTCTCTTGCCATCACGATAAATTCTCGATCTATGATGACATGACGAGGAAAATTTAACGATAATTTATTATATATATATATATATATATATATATATATATATAAAATATATATATATATAAAAGCATTTCCCGATGAACAAATAAATAAACAATATCAAAGAGCATTAACATTCGAAATTTTCAACATATTAAAAATGGTGTTTCCTCGAATGGATATACTACATTTTATAGTTGAAAGCGTATAAAATGATAGGCGCATTTGCAAATATTTACCAAATCAAACCGCATAACTGCGACTCGGTTCGTCGATACGCAGATATTGTTGCAGAAGGTTAAAATCGATAATTCGCGGGCGCAATAGATAAAAAGAATGAATGAGAGTAACAGAGAGAGATAGATAGATAGACAGATAGAGAGAAAGAGAGAGAAAGAGAGAGTATCGACGAATGAATCAATTCCAATCGATCGAATGTACGTACGTACGTACGTACATACGAGCAAAATCGGCGTTCGAATAGATACAGATATATTTTCCATTATAAACTCAAATATTTGGTAATGAATATCCCCGATACATGAGGATCGTTGGGCAGACCGTAACATAGAGAGAATAGGGCAAGTAAGCTTTAATACTACTGATTGGAAATCTCGATTGTGAATAGCTGGGTACCAGCCGATTGATGATCTCTCCACAAAACTATCTTCCCGCTCCACCGACGGTACTCCACCGAAAATTAGCCGTAGAAACTCATCACGGGATTGCCGAGGTGAAACGACGAGAAATCTCGCGCATTTGATCTACACAACGAGATCCTACGAAAGTCGAAGAACGAGTTTCGTTCAAGGAATCCTTTTTCTTCATTGCTATATTTTTTTGTCTCCCTAACCTTCCTACTCCTCCCTCTATCTCCCCTTTTTCTTTCTTTATTATATTTTTTATTTTTATTTTTTCTATTTCGTTTCGTTTCTCCATGTTCATTCGTTTGCTCACTCTCCCCCCTTCCTCTTCTCTCTCTCCCTCTCTCTCTCTCTCTCTCTCTCTCTCTTCTTTCAAACAAACGACTAGTTCCGCTTCTCTTAAATTCGTTACGGTCTTTACCCATTTCTCGTCGACGACAACCTCTTTCAGAAATATTGCAAAAAATATC